TTAAATTTCAAAGTAAAAATATAAAATATAAACGATTATGCTGTATTCAAACAGAATCATTAATTGTACAGAAGAATCACATACGTACAAAAGCAATTTCTCTTAATATACCTTAAACTGTTAATTACTTATAATTCTTATCCAACCCATTAAAATGGAATATCAAATCAGTGATCACATCGATGATATGAACCCTTGATATGATGTGATGAAGATGCTGCTTAACATCCATGGGCTACCTCTCCCAAACCCATATTTCTTGCCTAGCCATGAATAAAATACCATGAGTAAAACAAGCACACAGTAGTATCATCTCAGTACTTTGTAGGATCAGCATCACAAGGGATTTCCATGAATTTAAAGTATGAGCCTTCTTGGTTGTTGATAGAGAATTTTCAGTACATTTCAGGAAATCTTGATAAAGGTCCCATAATGTTCCAGAGCAGAAAAGGGGATTTAAACTGGATTTTCTGTTTGTAGACCCCCAGCTCAGTGTCACATACTGCATTGAGTGCCAATGCTGTGCAAGGTCCCTGTGAAACCACTGCAGGTCATACATGGAAGGGCAAAATAATTTCCTATAGTTTTCATAATGCCTGAAATAATAATAACAAGCAACTCAATCATACTTAATCTCTTCTGTTCACTGATATATTTTATACCTATATTTGGCATGAAATCGGACCTTGAAAAAGGTTACCAAATGAAAATAATGACTGGATGGATGGCCATGATCATTGAGGTAAAGAAATGATTTGAACTCCAGCAGTATGGCTCAGAAGAAATGTTCTTTATTATTTTTAATTGTTAAAAGTTATTTTTTCTTAAGATAATTCATTTCATCCCCTCCAACTAATTTGAAACAGTCATGATTTATTAGGGATGCTTGAGGATAACATCTTAAATAATCGACTTTAAAAGATACTGAATAAGAGCTAATCATATGGTGGCAGTGATTGTACCATACTGTTTGATGTGATTGGACTATGGAACAATATGTGGGTCAGGATCCACGGGGGAAACAAAAGAACATAGGCACGTCTTTCTGTGCCATTGATGTGCCAGTGCCCTGTAGCAAATATTCAGTATTACAACTGTCACTATGTGGCTCTGGCCTCAACACAGATAGCTAATCCTTTGTACAACTGGCCGTTAGTTGAAAATGAAAGAAAACATGTCAGGAGTCAGTGGCCCGTTTGAAGCCATCATCTTTGTATAAAAACAGTGTAAAACCTTTTTAAAAAAAATCATCAAGCATAAGAAAAATTTCCAGGAAACGCCAACCTCTTGAACTCTGATTAATACAAAGAGGTAGTCTCTACGTAACATGGTATTAAGAGGACAAGTATTTCACCATTTACAGATCTTATCCCATGTGAGGGGGAGGGGGACCTGATTTAGTTATTAACAGTAGCAAGAATAAGTTTTATGATCCAAAGATGCTCATCATGTTTTCTTGTAGATAGAAGACTCAAAATTAGAGCTGACTTATTTTATCTTTTCTTGTGTGAACTGAAGTCTCACCCCAGCTTGCTAAAATGTGAGAACAGCAGCTGCTTCTTAAATATGCTGATGTGCTGAAGTATAAAAAGTGGCTTCATGACACACACAGAATAATCACACATGGTCACCACTGACTGCCTGTAGTCCATGTAACTAACACTATGGGACCCAAAACCAGTCCATTTGTGAGGACTCCACATATCACAGATCACCAAAACTCAATACCTCTTTATTTGTTTGTAATATTTGGTTTCATAAAAATTTTTAGTGTGTTTAGTAAACAAATGGAAATCATGGAAGAGGTAAATATGAGTTGTGTTCCATGCCTCAAAACCAGAGGGAAGAGGCTAACATGACTTACAAATGGGTGTTTACCTTGACACCAGAAATAGTATAGCTGCTTTTGTTTCAATTTGATCTTTCCAAATCATGAAAATGGCTATCTAAGCAGATATATTTTAAAAATTGAAATCCATAGTCTAATATACATTTTTCAAGAGTTTTGTATCTCTTTTAAAAATTGTA